TCATTCCTTAACTTTGATCTGGATAACTAAACTAGCATCATTCCTTAACTTTGATCCGGATAACTAAACTAGCATCATTCCTTAACTTTGATCCGGATAACTAAACTAGCATCATTCCTTAACTTTGATCCGGATAACTAAACTAGTATCATTTCTTAACTTTGATCCGGATAACTAAACTAGTATCATTTCTTAACTTTGATCCGGATAACTAAACTAGCATCATTCCTTAACTTTGATCTGGATAACTAAACTAGCATCATTCCTTAACTTTGATCCGGATAACTAAACTAGCATCATTCCTTAACTTTGATCCGGATAACTAAACTAGTATCATTCCTTAACTTTGATCCAGATAACTAAACTTGATTCTTATTAACTGACTATGGTAACAGTCAGATTAGTTGTTGGTTCTTATTAACTGACTATGGCAACAATCAGATTAGTTGTTGGTTCTTATTAACTGACTATGGCACCAATCAGATTAGTTGTTGGTTCTTATTAACTGACTATGGCAACAGTCAGATTAGTTGTTCAACTAAAATCCTTGTTACTTCATAGCATGTGATACTGAACTACCAAATTAGCTTAGTAAGGTTTTAAACAATGTAAAAATATTATATTTAATGCAAGATTTCAGCCCTTATAGCTGAGCCTTTGCAGGACCAAAGTTCAGTATAAAAGTGTGAAGTGGTAGTCATTCTTTAATAAAGAACCACTAACTTTTGTCTTAATCGCTAGTTAGTTTTCACAGAATATTCCACACCGTTGACTGAGAAAATCTAAAACATAAGACTGTTTTAACTTTGTGTACACCGACTTCATTTTCCATTAGGTTTTCCCACTTAATTCGAGATAGAACTGTTTTAACTTTGTTTATATTAACTTTATCTTCCATTAGATTCTTCGCCAATTGTCAAATAGAAAGGCTTTTAGTTATATTTCTTAATAGTATAAATATATACTATGTTGTTGTTGGGCTTAAGATTCTTCTACAGCAGGTGTCTGTGACTTGTTAGCGATAAATTCAACGATGAATAAACAGCACGCACTTCACTTGTTTTCAAAATAATATATATATATATTCGGAACAAGTTTATATATGTACAATAAATTATTCAACACTATAGATATTGTGGACATATCATAAATACTATATATGTAGTTCTCTCCTTCTTGTCAAATATCCACTTAGGCTTATTCAGTTACTTTAGAATTTCAGTTGACAAGCCGAACTATCTTCTCTATTTCTATCGCACTAGTATTCTCTGTGATTCACTTACAATTGTGGCGCGAGTTACCGTAATTGTTTGGTCTTCTTTCTTTCGAAGATCCTCTGTTCCTTTTGTTAAAGTGCACTCAGGCTGATTCAATTACTTTAGAACCACGCTTTGACAGAATAAAATTATTTTTCTTAGCTTCTTTTCTACTGTTAGTTTCAGTTTAACATATTAAACGTTAGGCCTATTTCAATCGTTAAGCCTATCCCATCTACGGTACTTAACTTCACGTTAACTTTATTCTCTTTCGCTATTATCTGTCTGCTGCTTCCCGCTCGTCTCACGTTGTTTATATTATTATCACTTACTCGTCTGTCCGCATATTATATTCTCGACGTCAATGAATTATCAATAAAACTTCCTACATTCGTCTGCTTTTAACCCTTATTATAACGAAAACTAAACAATAATAAAATATTCACTCACAAAACTAAATTAATCAACACTATCTGAACCAAACAGTCTTTTATATCATGACAACCACCTTTTGCCACGATAATAAGTTCTTTTATTTGAATGTAACTCATTCTCGGACAGTTATTGTCTATAATTGGACATAAGATTACGATTGCCGATATCATTTGAACTTATCCAAAATATATACAATAGATCGAGATCCGATGACTGAGGTCACTATCATATACTTCGTATCAATTACAGACAATAAGGTTGTGGACGGTTGTTGCTTTTTCGCCATGAAAGAACTCTCGTCCGTCAGGGTGAAAGGGCACCATTTTGGAGCTGATATGGTTTTCAATAACATTAGGTAGATTATTCAACTTTTTCAATAAACCAAACTACACAACCTCTGTCACTGGAATGTTCCCATCTTGCGACATTGTTTGGAATAGTGTTTTTAGTCATCTTTCTTGGCTATTGCTCGGTCTTAATGCAATTGAACAATTTTGCTGTGAAGTTTAACGTATCACATTCCCTCTGTGAAACCTGTGAAGCAATTACACGCCACATTCTTAATAAATGAAATCACTAAGTCTAGGCTGTAAACTCAGTGTGTGCCCCCTAGTGGCACAGTGGTGTGTCTGCGGACTTACAATGCTAGAAACCGGGTTTCGATACCCGTGGTGGGCAGAGCACAGATAGTCCATTGTATAGCTTTGTGCATAACTACAAACAAAACAAACTCAGTGCGAGATGGGTCAATACCCAAACTAGGTGAGGGTGCTTATAAAGCGACAGTTCTTTTTACATGACTATCACGTGTTATAGAGATAAAATACACAAACAGTTAAAGCTGATTTTTACAGAAACTTTTAAATGAAATGGTATCTTTTGAATGTGAAGTGTCAAACACACATACTGGCATTAAAATATTGGGATATTTTCCAGAAATTATCCAGGAAGATGAAGTTCCAGTAAAAAACATTAGTCGGAGACAAGCAGTATATCGTAAGGAAAACAAACCTACATACAGTGACAATGGAATATATGACACTTCTACAAGTAAATATGGCGATTCCACTAACGAATGGAATAGCATGAATGGTTATGGAAACTCTTTCGGAGGAAAATTCAGCACAAAAGGGGTAGGACTTGGTAACAGTGCCTTTGGTAATGGAGGAAAAGGGGGATTTGGATATAATGGAAACGGGTTTGGGGGATTTAGTGGAACAAATTCTGTTAGGTTTCAAGGAGGAATTGGACCTAACAGTTTTAATGGAAGATTTGGACCAAGTGGTTTTAGTGGAGGATTTGGGCCTGTTGATTTCAGAGGAGGATTTGGAAATGGTGGTTTCAGAGGAGGATTTGGACATGGCGGTTTTAGGGGAGGATTTGGGAATAGTGGTTTCAGGGGAGGATTTGGGCAAGGTGGGTTTGGAATGGTACCTTCCTTTCACAGCGGTTTACGAAATAGCATTGGAAGTGGTTTTGGTAAAGGGAGTTTAGTTATCTTATTGGCCCTTATCGCTCCTTTAGCTATTCTGGCTATCTTAGGGCCAATTATTGCTAGCCAGCTGGTGGTGCCTACGACCTTGCTAACCACTACTGTTAATGGTAGAAGACGTAGAGATGCAGGTCTTCGATTGCCATTCTCTGAGGAGGTAGCTACTTCAGAAATGAAGCATCGAGTTGAAATGTTGCAGGTAGGAAGATGTAATATATTTAATATATATATATAGTATATACTGTAATTCAATTCAATGTGGTTTCACTTAAAGATAAATATGTATAAGAAAACTCGAATCCTTTCTTTTGTACCAAGCTATTCTTTATCTTACCGGTTTCGTAGCATCACAGGATACTCTTAAGTAAGTCTATGGACTTACAACGCTAGAAACTGGGTTTCGATACCTGTGGTGGACAGAGCACCGATAACTCATTGTGTAGTTTGTGCTTACCTTCAAACAAACAAACAGTACAAAATAAAGACCAGAAAACAACTAAACACTTTTTTTTTGAAAAGCAATAAATTTAAGTTTAAAATTTATATAATTGATATTTGAACACATCGGTACTTGGTGAAACTCCATCATCACTGAAATGAGAAAAACAAGACAATTCTACGTTTCACAAATATATAATTTAGTTTTTAAGTATTTATTTTATTAATTAAAGTATTTGTGAAACGTACAATTGTCTTGTTTTTCCTCAGTTCTTTAAAATTTACATAAAATTTGCAAATTCCGTTTTTCAATTTTAATTTTATATTTTTGGTTTTTTAAGATCAAAAACTCAAGATATAAAATAAATTGTTATTAATGTTTCAGATAAAAACCTAATTAAAACGTTCTTAACATCAATATGAAAATATTTTTGACATTAAAGATAAAATTGCTGTAATACAGTACCAAAATTCCACAGATATTATTTTTGAAAAATTCTTTACTTACTTTGTCCTGTGTAATTTTAACGTTTCTGTAGAGCTACCCACAGTATACTTAAGCCTAAGGTACATTTATCCCCACCAGGGGCTCAGCGGTAAGTCTGTAGGCTTATAACGCTAAAAACTGTTTTCGATACTCATGGTGGGCACAGCCCAGATAGCCCAATGTGCTTACTGATTCTACTTCATCGGGATTTAGGTCCTTGTTTGGACCTGGAATGGTCGGTCGGGTGCAATCTTGACTTCTTCTTCCTTTTTAACAACAATCAAACAAAGACGTTTAAAATACGCGCCAAAACCTATGGTTCCTATCTATTAAACACCTCGCCTCCTAACGGCTTTCAACTAAAATTTATAAATGAACTTCGAAAAAAAAGTTCATTCAGTCCATTAAAAATTATAATTCAAAATGTTTACTTACTGAGAAAGGACAATTTTCCGGATTTCTAACATGATACCTATTGTGCATTAACTCTTAGTCTCAAATTATTAGTTTCTCTAACATACAATTCTCCACAAATAGAACATTTTAAAACATGAATTACCTTTTTAGCATTACATTAAAATAACCTCTGCCCTTTGGTCCAAAAATCAAATTTCCTAGTTCAAGATATCTATTTGTACACATTAAACAACTTTTTACCATTACATTCTTCACTTTAGAATTTCTAAAAGTTAACAATCAATATAAATTTGGAGGCTGTCTGTGCTCTGCCCACCACGGGTATCGAAACCCGGTTTATAGCTTTATAAGTCCGCAGACATACCTCTGTGCCACTGGGGGCGGTTGCCGCTTTGCCCAAATTATTTTACAATTGTCGAAAATGTTCTTCGACTTCTTATCTACATCTTGATCAGTTTGTTTGTGAATAAAATCGATGTTAACTTAATCGTTATCTCAATATAAATGGTTTGTATTTAAAAAAAAAAAAAACTTTTATTTCCATACACTTAGAGTTTTAAGTAATGACTAACCGACAGCTTATTTAAAAACTTGAATAATCGATGGGAAAAAATTTAGAGAGAACTAGATAAGAAGGAATAAGATTTGGCAGTATTGTGTTCTAAATTATAGGCTCTGCAGTTTTACTTGAATGAAACAGGAGAAACTCGGAGCTACCAAGAGGACTTAACCGCTAATTACCTGGCGTGCTCAGGACTGTTGTCGGTGACCAATCATTGCCTTGAACGGCTGGCATGTGAGTTTTCCGTCTCCACCCAGAAGGTAGCATCGTTAGAAAATGAAATTGCATCTGTGTAAGTCTGTTGTTTGTTTTTTAAACGTTTATATAAACATTTAACAGTCATATGCTAAACTTAAAAACATTATAATGCTTTAATTTCATTTTTGATACACGTTTTGTTTCTTTATATAGGTTTAATTGAATTTATTTATTTTTAGGGTTCTCCACACTATTCTGACAAATAAAAAAATTCTCGAAAGCGACAAGTCACGAATACGAAAGGCAGCCATCCATGGCAAAAAGAAGGGCGGATCTTGCAGAGTCTTCTTCTGTAAGAATGTAGACGAGAAGTTAAATAACTCCTAGTTAAATGTACGAAGTTAGTTACTCTATATAAACATCCTTCTTAATTTAGTGTATTATCAAATGTTGCTATTTATTTATGAATGAATTGTGCAAAACACATAGTACAAACGATTGCTCAAAATGTCTCGTATTTACAGCCGACCAAATGCACTTACCAAAACACGTTTGTTTTTATCAAAACTTTTTCAGTACTAAAAGTTAAAGACGAAGCGAGGTTGTATGAGTAATTAAAGTAATAAGAAAATCGTTCTATTATTTATACATTAAAGCTTCGTTTAAATTCTTAGTGAGCTTGGTAAATAAACACTGTTATATTTATTTCAGAATTAATTATCTTTGTGATAGGAAATTATTATACTTATCTCAGGAATAATAATTGTTTTTTTAGATCTTAATGTATGTTTGTAATTATAATGACCGCTTATCATATCAGTTTCCCAGCGTAATACTTCATCATGTATAATGTATCATTAAATGGAATATTATATATCGTATTTTGAAGACAAAGTTTTTTTGGGGGGAAGCTACAGTCGCATTTGAAAGATTTTTATTGAACAAAAATTCAATTTGATACTTTAAAAATTAGCATATATTGTTTTAAACACAAAAGAGCTTTAAACATCAAAATAAGAAAATGCCGTAAATCAAAAAAGGTTTACTGTTATTTAGTTTGGTTTAAAACCTACAAAATCTTCATTGCTTTCACAGTAATTTATTTTTTT